AATAATAGCAAAATACAAAATTCTTTGTGGTAGTTGTAACAAGTATCATAATTAAATATGCATGAAAGTAAAATTTTTAGTTATTTAACATATGATTCATTAGATTTATGTTTAATAGGTGATACTATTAATTAGTGTATGATATTACTCATAGCTAAATTCTTCATGATAATTTAAATTATATTATTCTAAAAAGTCTCAATTTGATATGAAGACTTACGCGCAATTGCTTCCAGTCATTTTATCTGGACTTAATTGAGTGATAATAATACTTAACAGTGCAATAGAAAATGATATAATATACAAGCCAATCAATAAAATTGTGTTTAATTTTCGAATAGATCGAAAATAATAAATCGGATAAGCTACGACAAGTAATCGATCAATGCTATTTGCCAGTAAGCCAAATGCATTTAATAATTTCATTTGCATAAGGCCTGTGCTAATCTGTAATTTACAGTATGATTGAATTAATAACAAAATTTGAATTCATTTTATCTTTAATTGGTTAAGCAGCAGAAAAAAAACTACTGCTAAAATTAGCTGGATGAAAATCTGGGTGAAATCTGAATAGTCTTTTTTATATTAATGAAAAAGATTTTTATGTACATTAAGATATTTTTATTATTTAAAAAATTTAATTATAAATTTTTGGTTCAGTTTGATTTTTGCAATTATCTAAGATGCATCAACTTATGAATTAATTAGTGCTGTTGTTGGCTAAAAGAGAAATTTTGCCTATTATTATTAGATAAAGCTCTAAATATCACTTTCTTCCAACGCCTGTTGCTTCTTACAAGATTAAATTTAAGAAACAATTTATGATAAATTTAACAGTTAAATTTTAATTATAGCTACGAGAATAAAGTAGTGCTATTCAACTAATTTGATGGTTATAATATAGTAAAAAGTTGAAATTATTTTTCATTAATTCAATTTTTTTTTTATAAATGCAATTTACTGAGAAAAAGGTAAGGAAATAATCAGTTATTGTTGCCTTGCATAAAAAGAAAGCTATAATTTTCAGTGAGAGAATCAAGTTCTATGCATTTATTATTTTTAGTGAATAAGCAGAAGAATAAGTAAAATATAAATTAAAACTTTTATTAAACAAAATCAAAATTAATGGAAAATTCCATGTCGAAAAAGGAAGTGAATGAAGTGGCATTTAGCAACATTCCTATTTTATTGGATTCAAAAAATTTTACCTTTTTTTATTATTATTTCATAAATTCGTTTATCATGTGACAAAATAACAAGCAAACAAACGTTAGCTTTATTTTGCTGCAATTATAGGACTTTTTCAAGTGTATTCCATTAAATTATTAAAAAACAAAATGTTTACTTTTGAAATTTTAAATATTTTGAAAGTGTTTTCAAAAAAAAATTATCGCAGCCCACCTGAAATACGCAATCCTTATTCGAAACTGCTACATTTTGCAAATAAGGTTTATTGAAGATGAGAATTGCATAACTCAGACTTAAGAGACCAGTGATACCACCGTGAATAAATACAAATGAAAGTATAAAATAATAACAACTGAAATTATCACTTTACAATGATATAATATAATGCGTTAAAAATTATGGCACTGAGTGCTTTCTTAAAATTTTATTATCACTAATAAAAGATAGGAATTACTGATTTTCCTTCTTCCATTCTGCTTATTTCTCTCTAGTTATCTATCAAATTTGTTCGAAATATAACCAAACTTATATCACACAAATTGATTTATCTAAATGCTAAATATAATCTCTGAAAAAAAAATTAATTTATTCTTTAAATGTCAATTTTCAAACAAAAATTTTATTTCGGATAGATCTACCGGAAGTTTTTGTTAATGATTATTGTCATAAATAGCGGTATATTTATTACTGATAGCAGTAGACCAGTTGTTGCATAAACATAAGTTCGAATATAAAAAGAAATTTTATTCAAAAAATCAATTTCTTCGTATGTTGATGTGTTCATTTTATTAATCCTGAAGATATTATAATGAAATACATGAAATTTACATACATGAATACATCAGATATTGCTTTATCAGTGGGATTGCTTTTCATACAAAGAAAAATATAATTCGAGATTAGTCATTCGTCACAAATCAACCAATGGTTTTTGCTTGTCACTAATAATTTTAAAAATAAAATCTGATAAAGCTGCTGTTGGTTATGTTAGGTTACGATGGGTATAATGTATAACATAGCGGTACATATATATTACTGTGTCATCAATTACGGCAAGTAGTACAAAGAAATGAGTAAGGTTTTCTGATTAATGATATAACCGCAAAATTCACCAAAACAATTAAAATGAATTTAATAAAACTTATTTTATTTAAAAAAGTTACTTTTTCAAGGAGTGATAAGATTAGAAAAATTGACATCAATTCGAGGACTGAAATTTGTTCAGCACTTTTAAATTAGCTAAAAAAAAGAATGTTTAGGCATTTTTGCGAATTAACTAATAAAAAATAAGGAGAAATCATTGAACATTTAGTGCTAACTACAATGTCTTTTTGATGGTCTATCCAAAATACTTTTGTATGTGATAAAGATAATATGAACGAAAATAAATGCTTTAATAATATTTAAAAAAAAAAAAAAAAAAAAAACGGAGGTTTATAGTAATTCTTAACTTAAACCACAAAAAAAATCATCAAACTTGAAATATTTAAAAAAAAAAGAAAACAGTGAAATTCTATTTCTCTATTTATTTATTTGTTTTTTTTTGCTAACATATATCACTAAAAATTAATTATTAAAAGAAATTAAATTCCTTACATAGCGCCATTTTTCAACAATTCTGCTCTCATCTATTTATTTATAATCCTTCACTTCTAATCCTCTACATTTTTATTTCTTCTAGACAGCATAGAATAGACGGATAAAATTATCTGCAAATAATTAAATCATTTTTGAGACAAAGTTTCAAAGAACTGTTAAATTTACTTCATTAGTAATTATGAATTTATCAAACAGAAAATTCATATATTAAATTGTGATATAAGTGACAATGCTAATTTAAATTCAACTTTTGATTTTCCACTGACAAGCTATTTTTTATTCGCAAAAATGAAGTAAAATAGAGAAAAGAAAAATCTTGAAGAATAAACAGAAAATCGAAAAATGCAGAAATATATATAATTCTGAAATGCACTACTGATTTTAGTGATGTTTGAAACAATTTCAATTAATTTCTTTTATTTCATTAGTTTTAGTTCATATCAATGCATGAAAATCCTTTTTTTTTTTAGAGAATGAATGAATTCTTATACAAATTGCAATTTATATAATAACAAAAAATCACGCAATATTATTATTTTATTTGAATTGAGAACAATGAGTGGAGAGAAAAAACTTTTGAAATGTTTACTGTTGTAAACTCAACAAAATAGAATATAAATGCGATGATTTGTTAGTGCTCTTCTTTGAGTACGGGATAATTCATAGTAATTCATAAACAATTATTGAACAGTGAAATCTATTCATCTACCAATGTTTCAAAGCACTGTCATATTTATTTCAGTCTGTAATTATTCATTAATTTCAGAATATGAAAGAAAGAAAGGAACTGTTTATCATAATTCTACTTCATTATGTTTTGATATTAATTTGAAAAAATTTATTCACTATCGATTGTTTATAAAATTAAAAGTAATTTTTTGAGAGGAATGGTAAAACCCTACCATATTTTGAACAATATATGCAAAAAAATGCAAAGCAAAGAAAAATGCAATTAGTCATTCTGAAATCGGTAATAAGCAGTATTCTTTTCTAAGTATTATTTATTAGCTGAATGATTTATAAACTACGCATTTTGATGATAAAAGTGAAGAAAAATTCAATTATTCTGCTCAATCATTTAATTTTGTCAGTTTAAATTATATCACTGTTTTTGTAGCCAAAAATGTACAATTAAATTTCAGTCAAATATTAAATTTTTTCCAGCTTCTTGAAAAGCTCTAAAAATTATTGCTTATTTTACTTCATATGTAATAATTATAACTTCTTGCAAATTATGCATTTTTCCGTGTGTAATCTGAAGGCTGTTTTTTTTTCTACTAAATTAGAGGTAGTTTAAATCAATAATGATTCAGATGAAGCAGTGCAGAAGAATTTTATGATATTTTAGTTTAACTTATTTTAACTTATGCTGGCATAATTTAATCTGCTACAATTGAGTTTTTCAAACATTCATAAATAATAAAATATTTGTATAAATTCAAATAAAAAGTATTTTCACATTTTATTTCAATGCTTGCGATAACTGTGTAATAAATATGGCGATATTTAATACGAATTGATGCTGTATAAGATAACTATTATCTGCATGCAAACTTTATATGTCATCAAACTTCGTAATTTGTAAATGTCACCAAACTATATATTTTGTTACATATATCACACATTGTAGATTTAAAATTTTCATTAAGAATTTTATTTCTTTCTTGTGAAAATGTTCATTTATTTATTTTCAATTCAAATACAAATACAATTTATGTATGAATGAATAATTGGCTTTAACAATGATTCAAATAAATTACATTCAATCAATAATGATGTCATCATATATGTTAGATTTATTTCAATACATTTCTACCGCTGACTGATATAAAATTGCTTTCAAATGCCTTAACAATAATTGTTCACTTTTAAAGTTTTTAATTATTTAATCTAAATTAATTTTTTAAATTCAGTTTTTTTTTTCAGAAAAATCTCATGCTCAATTAAAAATTTGATCTTTTCTTTCTAAAAAATGAAACTTTTACTAAATCAGATATTTGATCTATTTTATGAGAAATATTTTGCATGAATGGATTTCAACGTTCCTTACTTTATAAACATTAAACATTATCATCATTATCATTAGTACTATTGCTATCGCCTATGAAACACCTGATATATTATAAACTAGGAAAACGAGTGTAAGTGTAAATGAGTGTAATAAATTACAAAAGTTTATTTCATAAAAGCTTAAGTAAAAATGCTTATATGAATTAATTTAAATTAGTCATTGGAAAAACCGAATTTTGAGACAATCTTGGTGCTTGCTCGGTGCAGTATTTGTTTAATTTTAGCATTACAAAGATTCGACGTCGAATAAGACTATGTGCCATTCCAAAAATGAATGCATGTGACAGTCCACTAATTGATGCGCATAATTGAATATAAAATGCTAATGTTTTAATAAACTGAAATGATTAAGAAATATTTGGAAGACATTTTTTAATATGTAATATCACATTTTACTAAAAGATGATTAAAATATACCATTATTACTTTTCCTTTCTTTTTTCTTTTTACTGATCATTACACTTATTATATATATATATATATATGTGACGGAATATTTAATGAAAACTTAATGGAAACAATAAATTTACATTTGATTGAATGCGCAACCATTTATTCCACCTGGAACAACACCAAATACTGCTGATACAATGATAACATAAAATGATGCACGGCTTACCTGTATTATTTGATTATTTTATTAGGTATTAAACTTAAAAAAATATTTCAAATACATAAATAATCACTGGTTTAAAAATGCTCAAAATTTCTGTTAACCATTATTTATGCAGCAAATTCATTACTTTCTTTTCTCTTTACATTAGCATGTTATATATAATATATGTTGTGATTTTCAATGACATAAAAAGTTCTCAATAAGTACATATTATTTGAATCCTATTTGAAATTATTCGTCGAAAAGTATACTGCACAGCAATTTCTGATGCAGTAACTACGATATATTAAATAACATTTCTAAATAAAACTTTTTAAAAACAGGCATCAGAAAAATATTAAAACTTGTAAAACTATTTATTTCAATGTATTAGAAAGGTTTTGAAAATGATAAGATATCAAGCATTGTATGACAATTTTTGGTGTACAGTAGTATTGCATAATATACGATAATACAACTTACCATTTGGCAAGAGAAACAAGAAGGATGATATTTTCGTTAGCCAAAAGTTGATTATCAGAAAATGAGAAGAAATATGTTGCTAGCAAGTTCGGTGCTATGATCCATTTATTTAAATGAAATTTCTGAAAATAATTTTTGATTGTTCATTTAAACTTTTACTACTAATGAAAAAAAAAAAAATATCTGACAAGAAATGATCTGTTATCACTTCATAAAAAATGAGTGAAAAGAATGAATATGGTAGAAGAATTGGGATGAAATGTTATGAAACTTAAGTAATCATTGAAAAGAAAACGTAAAGTAGAATGCAAACTTTGATATCTTTTTAAGCAGATATTAAAATAAAATGTAATTATTCATTCTTTTTAATTGTTGGTTCATTTTTATACAGGAAAAAAATCACCGCTTCGTAACTCATAGCAACATAATTAAATTTATCATTTCAGGCATAATTTTTTAATTATAACAACAAAAAAAAATAAAAATTATTTATTTAATTAGCATAAAAGCATAAAGGAAAATTATTTATTTAATTAGTATAAAAGCATAAAAGAATAAAAATTATTTATTTAATTAGCATAAAAGTATAAAGGAACTAAGTAAAGGACAAAAAATAAGTAAATAACTAAAAGTAAACAACATTCTCAATAATTATTACGACTGATTTTTAGAAAAGATGTGGTTGTCAAAACTTTACCTCAAAAGATGGAAAAAAACGAAAATAAACAAAAAAGGAAAAAGACAAGAAACAACGCTAAATACTAATGGATGGTATAGTAATCGAGTTCATTTCACTGATTGATGATAAATGATTATTTTGCTGAATAATTAATTGAGAACAAAATTTTACTTCAAATGTCATATAAATTTGAAAAATTTTCGAAAGCAAATCATTGCTGTATAGAATAAATATCCGTTTGCATCCATATATATTGCATTTATTGGTTGCGTCATTTTGCAATAAAATCATATAAATGTTAATATAATTGAATAAATTATTTGTTATAAAAGTCTAATTTTTGCATCGAAACATTATTTTGCACATTTCAATACAATTTCTATTTGTGAATTACACTTTGAATGTGGAAAATTGTACTCAAATGTAGTTAGATAATGCATTATATTTTCAATTACAAATTACTCTAAATGTACTTGTTTATTTTTGCATTTCTTGTTAGACTTATTTAAAGGAAATATCTATATCCTAGTTTAAATTTTGATTCACCTGCTCTTTATGATTGATCATTTCATTTAAAAAGTAATAAAGTCTTCAATTTTTTTCTCCTAGCAACGCATGAATGTATGCACCAATTTTCAGACATAATTTTTGTTTTTCATCAAACGCTAATTAAAACTATAACTGATAATTAGAAAAAAAGAAAAGCGCACACCTTTGTTTTTTCTTTTTACACTTTACTGTATAAAAACCATTTAAATTGCTTTTTGCTTTAAAAAAAAAAGATTTCATTCAAAAATATATATTAATATTGCATTATAAGAATTTGCTTTTTTGTTTTAAAAAAATGAGAAAATAAATTAAATTACAGTGAAAATAAGCAAATTCTTTTATAAAAAGCAGCAACTTTTATAAAAATATTTGTGTACTAAGTGAATAAATGCTGAAGTGATAATTACCTCAGACTTTAAAAAATGATGTTAATAAAAAGCATTGAGAATAATTTAACAGATCGACTGAGATCGCAAATTACTTGATTGAATAATTGAATTTTTAAACAGCTTTATAAATGAAATCTAGATAAAGGTAAACCTTGAACTTATTTTTTTAACAAATAGAAATTGTTGATTAGTTGTGAAAACAATAAATAAAAATACGGATAAATTTACTAATTGCTTAAACCAATTACACAAACAGCTAATAAGAAATAGTTATTATAGGAGAAAAAATTAGAACAAAATTTAGACAGTAAATATGTTTCACATATTTGATAGACGAATAACAGATGATCTTGTTATTGCACGAATTTTAAACAATTATGTATATGTTTTGTTGCGTAAATCTTAAAATTCTGTATTGTTCTAACCTTATTGGAAGCATTGCTATTAATTATCTCATGATTATAATTAAAAAAAACTTAATATTAAAAAATCGTCTGCCAGTTGCATTTATATTTTTTGATAAATCCGGAAATGATAAACTTAAAAAATGCATAGCTCAGTACTGATGAAAGTACATTGATGTTACTCTTTTGGTTGGCATATCTTTTCGAAGAAAAGGTTCAAATCAATAGCACTGATTCAAAATCTTATGGATAATTGTTGAAATCAATTTTATTATCAAGTTAATTTGAGACAAGGAGCTAACTCATATCGCATGCAGTCGTGATTTTCTGAAACAGTAATGCAAATTTAATTTTTATGCTTAGAAAGAATCAGTATGAGGGCATTAACAAAACGTAAATGTAATAACAGATTTTCTGAGAAAAAAGTTATAAATTAAATTAGTTCAAGGAAAAATTATATTAGAAAAAAAGTCTCGAGAAATACAAAGTATTTATTAATGCATCTATTAAATGTAGATTTAGAGAGTGATTTATTTAACAGGTAATGAAAATTTATGAGCCAATGGAAGCACCAAGATTTTCCAGACTTCATTTTATATTTATGAAAAATTTCGGATCAAGTTTTAGCGAAGTGGTACGAGATGCAACGAAATGAAATGAAAAGAGACAAAATGAAACAAACAAACGCGGAACGCATTCAGATTTTATATTTGCGAATTTTGAATATCCATATCATTGAATATTCATATCATTTATCAGGGGATTTTCTTGTTTTAATTATCATTGATTCAATCATTTCTTCCATTCATCATCACCAAATAATTCCTTATCAAGCAAATAAAATTATTCGCACAAAAAATTTTGCTTGAATGAAAATTACTTGATAATACAAACAAAATTAATAAAACAATTATTACTTTTAATTGGTCCTCAACCAGACATACCATCGGGAATCAACTCAATGATGCAATGTGCGTTCGAGATTTTTGTGCGCTCAATGCGTCTGCAATCAGCACTATTTAAGCTCTTCATCAATCAACGGGCCAAGTGATCCACGCTAAAAGTTAAAAAATTAATGCTATTATTGTTGTTACTATTATATATATATATATATATATATACGATTCGTGTATGCTTTTTGTTTTTATTTTATTGGTAGCATATTTAGCATAAATGCTTATTAGGCCTACTTAATTAGTGGTAAAATTAATTAAGCTATCTTTATCTTCATTACTATCGACGGTTAGGCGACAATTTGGATAAAGTATAATGAATATCACACCGTTTATTCATATTATTGTTATTATTACTATTTACTACCATACTAAAATTATTCATCAATCTGTTCTATTAGTGCATACATAAATGCATGCATAGCAAAATCAAATGGTAGCAATAATAAATAATTAAATCAATCGTTGCTGTGTTGATCAAAAATCCTTCATAAATATAAAATATGAGTGCAAAACCAATTAAGGAATAAAAAATGTCATGGAAAAATCTAGAATTAAAATTCCCTTGGAAACATTTAGATACAAAATTGCTTTTGAAAAAAAAAATTTTTGCCTTAATAATATATAATACTATTGATTGAAAGAAGAGAAGAAGCATTTAGAAATTGTCAAAAAATTAAATCTGTTTCAAATGAAATAACCTTTTAAAAAAGATCAAGCAAAAGAAATCAAATTATGCAAATTTTTTGAAACTAACTGGTACCATAATGGGAACGTCATTCAATTAATATTAAATTCATGATAAATTGTGAGCTCTCAGTACAATCCGCTAAAATTTCTCGTTTCTACAATGAAAAAATTTAAATTGTTTCTTCAAAACATATGAAAAAAGAATATCAGACTATAAGTGAATAAAATGGAAGATTATGAAAAAGGTTCATATTCAGATTTCATTTTGTATTCGTGAAAACTGGGATGAAATGAGACGGAATGAAATGAACCATTCAAAAACATTATAAAAATAAGAATCATAAAATTACAGCCTAAATCGAAATAGAAAAACCATGATAAAAAAAACAAAAATTTTTAAAAATTCATTAAATAATGATTGTACAATGATAAAATTTAAATCATTTCTTCAAAACACACGAAAGGCCACAATTAAAAGACCAGTAAAAGACAAATATACAAAGGAGAAAATGTTGACGTATAGATTAGCGAGCACCGAAACGTGCAAAACATCAAAATCCCTGCCGAAAGTTCTGTCACTCAGTGATACTGTCTGTGAGTGATTTCACAATAAGTAGAACAAAGGAATTTTCCAGAAATGTTTGGAACATTTTTGGTGCTTTCGTACTCTTTCTGGTTGTTTTTATTATTATTGTAATTGTATTATCATAATTTTTTTTGCTTTTTATTTTCTTTGATTATGTTTGTTTTTCTTAATTTCAATTATAATTTTTTAAGTATTTGTTATGGTTTTAATTTTTACAATGTTTTTTGACTGGTTATATTCTTTTTTTTTTCCTTTTTTTCCTTTCTCTTATTTCTCTTATTAAGTTTGATTAGTACTAATTTAAGATGTGGAAGCTTTATACGGGGTTATAAATATTAGATAGATCGTACTTTTAACTTGAATTTAGTTTAATTAAAATTTCTTTTTTTGGATTAGAAGATGTCTTCCAAAATTTGTTTGGTTTTTTTTAGTTTTTCTTCCTGCCAGTTTTACTTTGAATTATATATATATGAAATTTTGGTAGTATATTAGGTATTATATTGATATCTCAGACTGTTGCTGGTTTTTTTATAAAACATTTTATAATTTCTCATAGCTCGTGTTTTTTCCTTTTATTATTTCTGTTTAATGTCAGTCATTTCGATTCTGCATTCCGGTTTTCTTTAAAAATGATTTATTTACATTGTCTACATATACAATGTGTTGTTAAGATCATAGAAAATGTCATAAAATTTATGAAAAAAAAAAAAAAGAAAAAAAGGAATGCACTTCAGTTACAAAAATAAAGGGATGATCATTGGTGATCACTTGAAATATTACGGTAATGTTATCAAACACTTCTAGAAAAATTCCTTTGTTCTACTTATTGTGAAATCACTCCATAGATGGTATTACTGAATAAAAGAGTTTCTGGCGGCGATTTTGATGTTTTGCACGTTCTCTAACTTGTGCATAGTTATTTGTTCTTGCAGTCTAGCTGGTTGTTTTTATTATTATAATTATTTTTTTTTTTTTTTTTTTTGATTTTTACAATTCTTTGTTTTTTGTTTTATCTTTTTTTTTTGAAATTTAGGTTATGATTTTTTAAAGTACTTTTGTTATAATTTTAGTTTTTATCATGTCTTTTTTTTTTAGTGATTATACTGTTATTTTTTCTGTTAAATTTCATAAGTATTATGCTTTGTACTGGGATTATAAAATATTAAGTGGATTTTACTTTATCTGATTTAATAAAAAAATTTTTTTTGGATTTAAACTGAGTTCATTAAATACATAAAAATGACAGTGATTTTAAATTAAAAACGAAAGTAGTTAAACTGCAACTGAATTAAATTTATAAATTAATAATTAAAAAATTAAAAATGGGGAAAGAAATAAAAACAGTTGTCATGGAAAAATTTAAAACCAAATAAAATTTATAAATACCATTCAAATTTAATTTTGATTTAAAAAAAATTTTTTTTAATTAGAAATGAAGTAGTTATTTTTATCTTTATAAATATTGTAAAATGAATGTACACAAGCCTTGCATTTTAAAGAGGATAAGAAAGCTATTCTCGTCTTCTCCATTCTCATTATAACAGGCTCATCTATTTTCATAGTAATCTTACTGTCTATCGCTATTTTAATATTCATGAATATTCTATCATTGCACAGTGATATAGTTATTAAAATTAAAAAAGGAAGGGATGGAGAAGTAAGAAGTGTCTCAATAGAATTACCATAAAAGAAATTCTCAACGGACCGGTGAATATGCTATGCCACTGGATATCAAGGGCGAAGAAAATTCGGATTCTCAACCATTTCTAGCTCGACGAGCTAACCGATGCAATCAAAAAAGATACCGAACCATTTTTGAAGTGTCTAGCTTCTTCAGTCGGGAGTGTCACGAAACTCGAAATAATCTCGCGAACCTCCAAATAACTTACAAAACAAATAAAATCAAAAAAAAATTGTCAAATAAAATTGTATTAATCAAATATATAAATAATAAAATTCAAAATAAAATTATCAAATATATCAAATAAAATGGTATTAATCAATAATACTAAAATTCATTGTAATTGAACGTTAGAAATGTAAAACTGTTCCAAATTATACATCACGTAAGCAGTTATTATTTCAACACTCACCTTCCATTGTAGTTGAGCTTATCTGCTTGTCTATACGTTTTCAACTGATAACAAAGGGTATGTGCATTGCTTAACATGTAAAACTTACTTCTTTGTTCCAAATCAAATTTGCTTACAATGTCGAAAGATTGTATAGGTCTTCTAAACTGATAATCATCCATTGGGAGGAAGCTACAATATTAAAACAAATCACTTACTATATTAAGAGATCAACTGATAGCTTCTCACTCAATAATCATGCTCTTTTTGCAAGTCAATATCCATTATATAAGGATTCAAATCCTTGTCTCAATCAGTTTTTATCAGTTTTTTCTTTATCAGTAAGCTACAATTCGGCTGCTCTCCCTCACGCACAATTCAATTCATTTTCCTTTATCATTTATCCATTTTCATTCGTAATTATCAATATTGTTGCTATAGTTATAGATGCTAGCAAATAAAATCATTATAACAGACCTATCAGTCAATGTATTCGTCTATACCAACTACAATAACAAACAAGGAAGGTTTTTGAGCATACAGAAGTTCAATTCGACTCTAACTCACAAGTTATACTCAGCTTAAACACCAATTATCACAATAACTTTTGCTATAAAATATAAAACTATTGGTTCACCCTTTTTGTAGTCCATAGGTCATTTACCTCAAAAATGGTTTTTTCATTAATGTTAACCAACAAAACAAGTTGGTTAACATTGTTGAAAGCTAAATGCTAATACTTTATTTCAATAGTGAGAACATTAATCTATTCGTTTCGTATCGTGAAATATTGCAGTTCAGAAGTTGCAAAATCAGGAAGTGAACTTTTCGTATACTCACGAATTATTTTATATGCAAAATATTTAGAAAAAACACTAATAACATCTGTCTTATACAATTAACACTTAGCATACATCTCTTAACCAATGTGAATTTTTTTTCCCAAATATTTCTAGTAAATTTTTTTATTTTGTATCCACGTATAAGAGAGATGACAGATTAAGAAAAAACACTGATAAAATCTATCTTATACAATTAACATTTAGCATATATCTCTTAACCAATGTGAATTTTTTTCGAAATATTTCTAGTAAATTTCTTCATTTTGTATGCATTTTAAATGCTGAAAGCTGTGCAAAAAACTGTGGTTGTACAATGAAGATTTGCTTACATATGATAAATGTTACTGTTATATTGTCATATTTTCAAAAAAAAAAAAAAATTGAAAATAAATAATTGAACATACTCCCGCTGAATCAACTTTATCTGCATATTCCCATGTTTTTTCCTATTGTGGTCACGTAGAAATTGTTACTATACTTGCGTAAAATATCACTGAAAAAAAAAATGAATTTGTTACCAATAATAACAAAAGGCATCAATCAGTATTCATTTCTCTGATAATTATCAAAAACATATCGTGAAGATGAATGTCAATCAGTTCATTACTTCAGCGATTTCACCCAAATTTATTTTACTAATAGTAAATGAAGAAATAAAATAAAAACTTCCTTATTAAGGAGCATTTATTGAACGCACAAAAATAACAACTTATATTCGTTACAAAGCATAAAAATATGCTCTCAGTTAATCATTTGGCTTGAAATCTTATTGAAGATTTAATAATTTTCCTCAGATATATTATA